AACCAACGAGCATTTAAGATTTGACGGAGAATGATGGTTTGAGATGCTTCAATTTGATTAATACGATATCTAGCTGCATGTGCTCAGATTGGAGCGGCATACGTTAAAATTGGTCTGAGGATCAGTTTGTAGATAAGCAGTTTATTTTCTCTGCTCAAAACAGAGAGTTTCTTGCAATTAAGGGGTAAAATTGCTTTGGAATAGTTTTACTGAAAGCAGTGGAAAGAAACGGTTCGTATTCAGGAGAGACGTATATATACGCCAAGAGCAGTTAAGGCTAAATCTGAGTGAGCTATATATATACGCTGGGGGTAGTTAAGGGGTTAACTAAAACGAAAATCTGATGATGACTCTCACTTAACTGCGGACCTATCTTCAGGTGACTAACAACTTTTCCTGGTAGAAAGAATTTATTAATGTGGACTAGAAATGTTTTCATGCGTGAATATATATTCTTAGTTTCAATATATGGATCGATATCTTTTGATTATACTTGATATGATATTAATTTATGATTATCAACTCTGTAGGTACATTTCATTTAGTTTTTGTAGTTTTGATGTTGAAGTAAATAAATAGCTGGAAATTTTTTTTCCTAATGTAAACTATAGAAAAATATGAGTATAATTTGGGATCATTCATAGTTTTGAATCGTTCATTCTTGCAATGCAATTATGGTTTTTTTTTTTTGTAATTAAATATTCCGTAGAAATTTTTCTTTTCGAAATATCTCTTTCCCTTTATTTCAGAAATTCTAATTACCCAAAGAGCTGCAAGCGAAAAATGATTTTTAAAATAAGAAATGTTGAAATAAATTAATTTATGACATTTTAGACATCAAATATTAAAGCGAGATACTTAAAAAAAAGGAAACACGAATATTTGAGTAAGAATCATTTAATGCTTATAAATGAATTTCTATTTTATTTAAACGAATCAAATTTTCATCAACATATTGAAAAGTGGTACAACAATACGAAATGTATTATTTAAAATAAATGAATGTGATAGGATTTTTCTACACACAATAAATACAATAATCTTCAAATTATACTCATATGTAAAGGGATAAAAAGAAAAAGACAAATAGAATTCAATGTTTATATATTTAAACATAATTTCACAAAGAGGGACAAATTTATTTCACATAATGATTTGCGTAATGAAAAATTAATCTCCTTTTATGTTTAAAAATTTTTCCTGAATATAAGTCAACAGCTTCCGAAATTGCAATATACCATTTCTATCTTTGTAATATAAATTTTTTTTTTTATACTTAAACAAAGAATAGGTCTTTAATTTCGTTAAATATAGAACAAATAAAATAAATAATTGCACTTAAATCTATGTACATAGATTTTCTTAAACATGGAAAATACTGCTTGATATTTTAATTATTAATTTATTAAATTCACATGAATTTTTTGTAAATATTTCTCGCTTTTTACTTATTTGCTATTTAATAGATCATACCATACTCAAAATTAGATAAATATATAGCAGATAAAATTTTAATTTACAAATTGTTACAATACCATAGTGACAAGCAGAATTTTTTTTTTTTGCAATTTGGCCTTCAGCCTAGTTTTAGATATAATTCTCAGTTATCAATAATCTTAAAACATAAAATTGCATTAAATATTGTACAAAAATTTGTCTTTTCTTTCATGAAAGAATACATAAATAATATTCTAAAATAATTGTTTTATTTACATTTTTTTAAAAAAAATAATTTATGTATTCAACATTTTTATATTGTTTTATTTTATTATTACTATTATATTATGCAGCATGTTAAAGATCCCTAGAGTATACATTTGGCTTAAGTGCTCTCGGCAAAATTAAATCCCGAGAACGATTTTGGTTTTTCAGAGCTCTGCCTCTCTCTGGGGAGGAAACTTAGCGTCAAAATTCCATTGCTACGATTGGTATTCGACGTATGTGGTGCCGCACTAAAACGTGATACGTCCTCTCAATTAATGTACTAGATATGTGATGGTAAATACCAATCCGCAGCCCCATTAGAAGCAAAAAAATAATTTTAATGCTAATTAATAGAATTGTTACAAAATAAATTTTTGAAGTTTTACTGTCGCTTTATGTTTATCAGGAAATAGTTTGTGCAATTAACATTAAAATTCAAACAAAAAATAACATATTTGCAATGATTGTTAAAAGAATAATTGGATAACTAAAAAACACATCGAAATTATAACTAAATATTATTTGGAAGATAATTCTTTATAAGTTATTCTTAAAATCAGTCTTATACAAGAAATTATTTTTCTAGTCTAAAAATATGCTTTAAAATATCAATTTTAAATATACATATATACTGCGAAATAAGTTTAAATGTATAAAATTATATACTTACTCAATTTGGTGCTTCTGCGATAAATAGCATAAAGCATTAATACATTATTAGCATAAAAGCGTTAGTACATTTCATGAAAATTACGTATATTTATCCAATAATCAGTTAAATGTGTATAAAGTCTTCAGAATAATTAACTGGCTTGAACATTTACGACGAAAGCCTTAATATACTGAACAGGTATGGATTTATAAGTAGGTATTCCGAGATGTTACATCCGCCTAAGTAGGGAAATCGTGGAAATCATTGCAAAATCTCTTAAACAAATTTAAAATATCTGAAAGTTTGTTATTCAAAGTTTTTTTAAACCACCTCATGTGTTTTTCTGCTCTGATTTTGATGGAACAATATTATTTTAATAAACATTTCCTTTGCAAAATGAGAAATTGGTCACGTAATATGAAAACCCTTATATAGAATTTATGATGGTCTTTATGTGAAAAGTAAATAAGGAAGCTTTTTAATTAGCTAAATTTCATAAAAATAAAGGACATCCTTTTATAACAACAACGGATTATTATAGTTTTGGTATACATTTAAAAAAACAAATGATTTTGTGTAATGAGGATTTTTGAATAAAATAAAAATTAATCTTTATGGATCAGGAAGTTAAATGCGGTATGAATATTACCAACAGAGACAAAACTAAGTTATTGATTAATACAGCGTTTCTCAAACTGTGGGGCGTGCCTCCTTGAAAGGCGTGATAACTGTACGAGGGGGGCACGAGCCTATTGAAATTTTACTGAAATTTAATTTACTGAAAGTAAACAAACAAAATGCTTTCTGATATAATAAAATATAAAATGCCCATTTACACGGATATGATACACTTATAAATGTATCAGTACTGTACAATGTATTTTATTATTATTTTAACAATACTAAGTTAAGAACAAGTGTGATAATTACCTGGGACCTCATAGGCTTGTATTAACACTTATCTTGATATTTTTTTTTTGTACCGTTTATAATTAGTCCCCTAACCACCGATTAAAAGTTACGCGATTCTTTCTATAATGATACCGTTTTCCACGTAGGCGTGCGTTTGCGATGTATTGGCGAGGGGGTGAACAGAATAATTAAGCAAATCTTCCGAAAAAAGTAAATCCTTTGCAAACACTGCAAAGGTTCTTTTATTGCATTGCAAAGCCTTCGGAACAATTTTATGAATATCATTGCACAGAAAAAAATCGCACTTTGGAAGATGACGATCTCTTAGGAGACGTCTATATACGTTCGGAGAAAATAACCTTTGTCTGAGCGAGACGTTTATATATGCCAATGTCACTTAAGAGGTTAAAGTGGTATTGTAGCTTTAGCGTCAATTATTATTTAGCGTATAGTATTATTTAAGGGGCTGGGGTAGCCCAGTGGTCAAGGTGTCGGATCATGGCAGACATGTCATGAGTTCAAGCCCTGTACCATTAAAGACCCGCCGTGTAGGGCAGCGATGCACTTTAAATCTGTCGAGAGCTGAAACGACCTGCAGTTGGTGTTTAGTGGTAGTTAGGAGAGGGGGGTGCCATATCAGGTGTCGTCCACGTCACTTGACGCTGGTTCAAAATTACGTGGTCCGTCGCCAAAAGCCCTCGTGTAGCTGAACAGTGCGACATTAATATTCACTCACTCACTCATAGTATTATTTAATTCAAAATTTTTGTATTGTATGGAGGGGGCGGAGCGATGAAAATTATGACTGAATATTGTGTTTCAAATATTGAAAGTTTGAGAAACACTGGTGTATATAAATAACATTTTATTGTAAAAAACAACACGATATAAGTCTACCCTCATACACCAACTATTTCTCTACACAATCACCAAGTCACATCAAACATTTGTCCCAGAGAATGATGACCATTTATCATCTTGACACTAAAAATCCATGCCTTAGTCATTGAACAAGATTAGGACCGTTGTCTTGAGTTGGTTTTTGTGACCAAATGGCATCCTCACACATGCCCTATCTCAGCTTGTAAACTCATAGAAATAGGAAGCCTCCAAATAAGAACTCTATGCAGACTTTCCATTGGAAACAATGAAGCAAGTTACATGTTTCATATGCTTTGTGATAAGTTGAATTGTCGTGCAAGAGGTTTATTCATGTGGTGAACTGTCTACGTCATTTTTGAAGTTATACTTCTTTTGGGACTTTAGAGAAATAGAATGAGGTTAAATTTTTACAATGCGTGCGCACACCGTCACGGATGTGACGCACATCGTCACGGATACGAAAACGCTTTGTCTAGAAATTTAGAGAACGGGACAGATCATTCCCACCTTCGAAATTTTCAGGAAAATATTTCTCTTCACTTCCCTGAAGTAGGGGGAACTCGGGTTTGAACCGGAGACTTCACGATCTGCAGTCGAATGCCTTACCACTGAGCTATACACCCGAGTCAGCAAAACTTTGCTTTGCGTTCCTTAGGAACGGATACGAAAATGCTTTGCCTAGAAATATACAGAATGGGACAGATCA